TCTCTCTCTCCATCTCCATTTTCATCTCTGCTCTCTCTCTCCATCACTCTCTTCACCCGATCATCCCTGCCTTGGTTTGTCTCTCGTGCAGATACCTCCGTATCTCTTTCTATCTCCATTTTCATCTTTGCTCTCTCTCAATCTCTCTCTCTATTCGATCATTCTTGTCTTGCTCTGTCTTTCGCACAACAATGGCATCTCTATCTCCACAAATCGTCCTTACCTCTCTCTCTCTCTCTCTCCATCTTTATCTTCACCTGATTATCCCTACCTTGCTCTACCTCTCTTGCAGATACCTCCATCTTTATCTCGACAGATCGTCCTTACCTCTTCCTATTCCCTTTGTTTTGTCTCTCTCCAAACCCTAAACCCTTTGGATCTCTCTATCTTCGATCCATCTGAGAAACCCGAAACCCTTGAAATTAACTATAGATAATCATCTTTTTGATGGAGAAGATGAAGACGAAATATAAATAAACCCTAAGATGAAGCAAACAGATGAAGAAGATGAAAGCTTGAGATTGCTGAAATCGTCTGAAATCCATCACCCATCTTGTGAATCCGGCTAAATTTGTTTCAGATTTGTACTTCATTGAAATATGTTCTAAAATTTGTTATGAGATTTATGAAAATTGGGTTCACTTGTTTTGAAAATTGATATGAGATCTGTGAAAATTTGTTCTAAAAACTGTTATGAGATCTGTTTTTTTAGTTGTGAATATTTGATGAAGAACAAAATCAGATGAATTTGTGAGTTTTGAGCCAAAATTCTGTTAATCTTTAATGATGTACCATGTTTGGCAAATGCCAACACTCATGCCAAATTTGACAGCAGAATTGGCATCTGCTATATTTGACAAGAGGAATAGCACGCCATTGGAAATTCCATATTTTTTATTTTTGTCAAATTATAGCTTTGACAACTCATTTGGCACCTTCATTGAAGATACTCTTAGAAAAGGTTAGTGAAATTTACCCATAATAACAATCGTTTGCTTTGGGTGCTATCTTTTGTCCTCCAATTTCTTATTCAAGTAATATGCCAAAGAACTACCGATTTATATTTATTTAGAACTTTACACATGCAAAATTAATCATATAAAATAATCCTTATCATACATAATGAATAATAAAATTTAACATGAATGATACAATTTATTAAGAAGACGTCATCAAAAGTGATTATTTAGTGATTTTAAAATATTGTTCTATATTATTTATCACTTAACAATATCAAGTTTTCTCTTAAATTGTCAACAAAAAATATGAGTCTTGTTTTTTTAATCAATATATATTAAATTAGAACATATGAATTTATCCCAGTATATCCTTAAATAATTTTCCTTTATCCAATACCAAAATTTATTATTAGAGGAAATATTAACGGTCATTTCAAATCACACTAGGGCTATTTTGAAAAATTGATTAAAAGTCACTTTTCAATTTTTAACTTACTTTCCTCTCTAATAAAAAAGTAAAAAAAAAATAACTTTTAACTATATTTCTAAAGCACCCCTAAGTGAGTGATGAACCATCAAACATCAACCATCAGTACAGGTGGTTTTTTTTTCCCCTCTTTTTAGAAAAGCGTAAAATACATCAATATATTAAAAGAAAAGGCGAGGAAACACACTGAAAATATCATCACAATACTTTAAGGCGGTTTAGTTTAATTTTACAATTATGATTTGAGTGTGAAGTTATATTTTGAGTTTTGAATTTTTAAATTATGATTTAAAAAGAAAAAATTTATTTGATTATAAATTTTAAAAAAAATTTAAAATAATTTGTAAGTTTTTTATTTTTTTAATTGATTGATATATTGAATATAGGAGAATGTGAGAAGAGAGATGAAAGAAAAAAAAGTAAAAGATTGATTGAATAATAATACTAATAAAAAGAGAAGAGAAGAGAGAAGTTTTAAAAATAATTTTAAATTATATTTTAAAAATATATTTAATTAATATATCTTATCCAAATTATAATTTAAAAATAGAATTAAATTTTAAAAAATAAATCAAACGCTACCTTTTTGTTTGCCAAGACAACTCACCCCCAATTCAAAGAAAAAGCATGACTCAGTTATAATCTTCCACTAAAAAAAACCCATGACTCAACACGATTGGTGCACTGTAAAAAGAAAATATCATGTGCGCACTTTTTAGAAGGAATGTTATATATACTTATAACTTAAAAAAAAATAATATAATTTTCTAAAAAAAATAATATAATTTTCATTTTTTTGTGTCACAACTAAAAAATAAACTTCATAATTAAACACAACGTGAGATATAATTAAAAAATTTATGAATTATAATTAAAATAATATATTGATTAAAAAAAATTAATTGTAAAAAAAGAAAATGATACACTGTATATTAGAATTTCACTTTAAAAAAAGTTAAAATTGTGTGATACAGTTTTCATATCAAGTGATTTGTATGTTTTATAAGTGAACACATTACATTACGTGTATATTGACAGCTATCTAAAATAACAATTTAAAGGGGTTACATTTTTGGAGTACTTTGAAAAGAGAGAAAAAAAAAAAAGTCACAACTATACTAACTCCAGGTGTTAACTATGTAGTTTACATTCCCTTCCGTTCATAAAGTGGACTAGACAATATTATTAGATTTGTAAAACTCCTTACGAATATTATTTTGATAATTTGAATCGTCAATATGTAAAATTCATCGACTATTTCATCATTGTAAAAAATTATATTGATCGGATGTCGACAGACACTTGATCCAAACACATTTTTGTCAAAAATTTATTTTTAAAATCATATTTACCCTTGACAAAAACATAATCTGATCGAGGGACTATTGATATCGATCAATGTGATTTTTTTGTAAAGATGAAGTAATCGATGAGTTCTTATACATTGAATGGTTTAGATCATTAAAATGAGACCCGTAATGAGCTCACGGGCCTAAAACACCGTCTAGTGTGGACTTATCCAATGGTATAAATGTACAAAGAATATATAAAAATATGTATAAAAAAACATATTAAAATGACTCCATAGGTTATTTTTAACATGAGGCACAAAGAAAATAGTCTCCTCTTTTACAGACACTAAAAAAAAAAAAAAAAACGACTCACGTCTGGGGTGAGCACAAAAATAATTTCTATTTTATTTGCTAATTACAACAATAGTTATAGCTGTCAATTAATTTGATCACTATAGTTTCAAATGCAACAAATTTACCTATTAATGTCTCTATCAAATTAATCCAATTAATAATGATATTCACGAGAAAAAAAAGGGGTAAATCAATAATTTGATGTACCATATACGGGTTTCAAGTCACATTCCCTCCCTTTTCACATCGTTTTATCTCTTAAAATAAAAACGATACCAGTAGTAAAAAATTTAGATAGAAAATGACTGCGTGACTATCAAATCAACAAGGCCACTCAAGGGATATAATGGTAAAACAACACATTTCTTGGCACATACCATAGCCGATAAACCTTCTGCTCTAATCAAAACCGAGCAAAAAAAATTCTTCATGAAATATCTGATTGTGACAAAGTGAAATAGATCAAGAAAAATGGAAAAAAAAAACTACTTTGCAGAAGACAAATTCTATACTCTAAAAACAAACAAGACATAACAACCTAACCTACCAAATGTAACTTTAAATGCATCACCCAGACAACAACATAACTGCCAAAGCATGCTTTTCTTCAAAAACAAATGGACTTCAAGCCCAAACACTTTTATATGAAAAAACTAATCTACTTAAGATTGCACACATATTCACATAACATAAACTTATGAAATTGTCTTCATAATTTAGAGGAATTTATGGACATGCTACAGATTAGAAGACCAGTGGAACAAAAATGCGAAAACATATCATCCATTTTAAAGAAAGCCCACACACTCCCTTAACAGGAATCATAGCTAAGCTAATCACTATATCAATAAGTAGGTAGGATCTGTGCATTGCTTTGAAGAAATGTTTGCTGGAGTCAAAATCATTACTAAACAGAGGAACCAAGGGGTTTAACTCCTGGGAATTCAAAGTTTAATTCAACTTCTGCGTGTATATGTGTGTGATTATTATAATTATGTACATTTTTACTGTATTTTTGACAAGTACAATCCATGTTCGCATGGTAATTCTAAGTATAGTTCCGTATCTGTTTCTCATGAACTTCCATATCGAAACCTTAATATGAGTTACAGACTGGAATCTATATCGTCTGATACCATGAAATTATAAATACAATGAAGTTCAGAATAGCACTTCAATACAAATTTGCCTCCTAATGTAATCAATGACAACGGAACTCAGTCAGCCAAGGTTTTATTTAGACCTAAAAGCATGAAGATTGGTACAATAACTATGTTATTCTAATTTTACAACTATAATTACTCTTGAACATAATTTATATCATCAAATGGCTGAATATAGGGTTAAATACTTGAGATCAGATATAAGGATCCTCTCTTGCCATTGGACTCTTATCTATGATCAGATCTTTCATTTCTAAGCATAAACCATCATGTCCATCTCATAACTTCAATGCAAATTCATTTCAACCTTCATCTATATTTCTAGTGGGGATGAGAATTATGTATCAATGATAAATCTAACAAAACGGTATTGTGGCCCCGAAAAAAAAAAAAAAACATTCCATGCCCTTGAAGAGTGCTTTGTCATGCTAGATCACTAAAATAACCCCAAGAATGGATTGGATCGAAACGGCTTTCCTATCTGATAGAAAATCAATTATGGACACTTTCATTTCCTTTCAGTGGATGTTCAACCCCTTGCCTGGACTTTACTTGATAACAGGGCAACACTCGGCATCAAAATTTAGACTTATTATCCACGAAGTAGTCCAAAATTTAAGAAAAAGGGAGAAAGCCACCATCTAACCATCAATAGGAGAAAGTGCATCCAAAAAACACCCAGAAAACATTATGATTTATTAAAACTGCATAATCAGTCATTCAATGAACAAAAAATAAAAATCTAGAAGACAAAAACTTCACTCTGCGAAGTTCATAGAACATTTAGAAGGCAATTTATTGGAATACCTCCACATACAAACCTAAAGACAAAGGATTTAACTAACACCTAAACAACCATCTTCTCCTAGAACTTGAAGTTTGACCACAAGTTCAACATGAATGTAAGCATGTTAACACAGCATATGATAAATAAAAGTCCTGAAAGATGAGATTTTGTACTAAAAAATCACTCATCCACAAAAGAAGGAATAATGTCAGGTTATTACTAACAATCCACAAAAAATATAGGAAATAAATGGAAGAATACCGAGATTACCAGCGATCACAATGAGAAGCTGGAAACTGGGCATTCTTTGGAGAGAATATTTGGACCTCCAAATGCAGAGGCCAATCATTACATTTGATCACTGACTATGTTCCATTCCAATAAACCTGAACCGCCAAAACTGTACATTCAAGAAACATGCAAAGCTCATCTTTCCCATTAGCTTACTCTACTGCAATGGCTACTGAATGGAATGGACTCAAATCCATAGCTCATCTTGGCTGCCATAATTTAACTAACTTCGCTGCATCAAAAGTATCCACCATCCTCTTCTCTTCCCTCATCATCGCTATCCAAATAGAAATCACCATCTTCCTCATAATCCCATTCTTCCTCTTCCCCTTCAGAAAATGCAGATATCTCCATATTATGATAGTCAGTCCTCACCGTGACAAGTTCATCAACTACACTATCCAAACTCCCATCAATCCTATCTTCTCCATCGAATTGAGTAATCGAACACGACCCATCATCTCTCTCTACGAATTCCCTTCTCCTCCGATTCCTCCGGTTCAAATCCTCCTCCGAAATCTCCCCATTCTCAACCGCAATCCACGGAACCCACAAATCAGCATGCCTCCCCAATGCCCTGTCCCAATCCCCCACCACTACCGTCCCCAAATTCGCCTCCCTCGCTCTCCTCAACATCTCCGAAAAATCCGAATCATCTGAAACCAAGAACAACCAATCAATCCCACGACTCATTGAGTGCTGCATTTGCCTCTTCAGAGCCCAATCCGCCGCCTGAGGCTTATCCTCCACCGTCTTGACATAAACTCCGGCACGCCTGAGCCCCGAAGCGAGACCATACCCAACTTTTGGGGTAATCAAAGTCTTCGCCGCCTCCGTATATTTGTGATTTCCATCTATAAATCTCTCTTTGAAACGGTTCCTTTTCTTGCCCTTCAACGATCTCATTCGATTGAGCTTTTTCTGTCTCTCTCGCTCGTGTAACTGGCGGAAGTGTTTCTTGAGGTCGAGATTGGTCTTGCACTTGCGGCCGCAGACGCCGCACACGTAGGGCTCCGGAGGCGGCGGAGCGACGCCTTTGCGCTCGAGGATGTCCAGGCGCCGCCGTGCGCGGCGTTCCTCGAGGACCCACTGGGGGAGGTGGATGAAGGCGTGGCGGTTGGCGTAGGCGGAGATGTCGACGACGTCGCCGAACCGCTGCGCCACCTGTTTGAGCGCCATCGCCGCCTGGTACGGCGGGCCTCTCGGGGGCTTGTTGTCTAGGTCCCACAGAACCACCACTTTCTTGGCCTTGGCTGCGTACACGCCTTCCTTGTTTCTTACCATGTCGATTTCGGCGGCGCTGGATTTGATCCGCTGCAATGGGTGAGGATTGGTTTTGAATTGGGGTTTGAATGTGGAGGGAAATTGGGTTTTGATGTTGAATGGATTGGTGGTTTGGGGTTTGATTTTGAAGGGAAGATGAGAAGGGGTTTGGAGGGGAACAAGTTCAAGTGCATAGCAAAGAGGATTCATATTCGTTTTCTGTACTTCATTCGATAATTCAGTGAGCTGAGAGAAAGGGAGTGAGGCTTTTCTTTACGATTCTTTCTTTCTTTCTTTCTTCTGTAAGAGTAAGATAAGGAACGATGATGATGATATCAGCGTGCGTCTTGCAGAGATTGTTTTGGATCGGATACGGGTAATATCCAAACTCATATCAGGAATATACTCCGTCATCAGCAGCCCATTTCTGCTTTTTGCTTTGTTTTTGTTTTTATTTTTGGACACCACAGATCATAAGTTCATTTATCAATCTTTTAATGGCTCAAGTTCTGATTCCTTTAGTCAAAAAAATTATTATTTATAAAAATCAAAATACCTGTTTATTTCTGAAAATCACTTAATTTGTTTACATGTTAAAATTTACCAAATTACTTATTTATTGAAATATGACACATGCCACTCATTTAATACCATATCTATTGAATATCAAATATTTCTCTATCTTACTGCTACCATCACATGTTGCCGCTGTTGATGAATTTTTCAACTAATTTTTCGATGTCGATAACTTTTCCGACATGTTATTTTCATCAAATAAAATTTTACCTTGGATTATATCCTTTTTCAATTGGATCTTTCACTACTTTTCTCCTTTTTTTTTTCTTTTTTTTTTTTTGTCTTCTTCAATTTTTTTTAATTAAAAAAAAAAGTGTTCAAATGTGCAAAAAGTGTTTAGAAATGGATAAACTTGTTGACACTAGGAGGGGGCTGCGTGCAAAGCACGCTTACTAATGCCCACTTAGTGCTCATTCGATTATTGTTTCGGATTGAAATTTGCAAACATATTAAAGTTAGAGTTGGAAAATATATGCAGTCAAATGTAGCCATATGTGTAGCCTGTATGTTGTCTACGTACCTTAGTTTTGTCATGCATACTGTTTACAAAACAAACTGTACGGGGAGGAAATAATTCTCCTCGTATAATCCTGTTGACCAAGTCCACGCTCCTCCGTACGACGTCGCTTTATCACCTGAAAACACAAACGTGAGCTAGCCGGCGGGTGTGTGCCGGAAACCTCTCCGATGCCTAAGTCAGTAACTTGACAGATAGACAAAAGCTCTATGTTCTCAGAAAAATTATGTTCAATTACCTCCTCCAAGGCGATGTTTGTGAGCTTTTATAAGTTTCCAGTGGCACAATCCTAGTAGGACTTTTATTCCTTCATGCAGAGTCCTCCTAGGATTCATACTCCTAAGGATAATGCTTATCCTTTTACACCCTCCCCCACTGCTTAAACCAAGTGGGATGGTTTTTACTTTGGCCGAACTACTATATGACCCAAAAAAGCTTGGCCATGCAGAGCCACTGAGTAAACCGAATTCATCCTTAGTTCGGTTCTTGGGTTATCCCTTTCTTATCTCGGCTTTCTATGTAGAACCCATAGTACGGTCTTAGACCGAACCAATGACTTTCGGCCAGTATAACCTTAAGACCGGTATAACTCCAAGTTGCTTTCGGACCGAAGTATCTTTACAGTCACTGTGCCGAAGTAAATTTGTCTCTCTTATGCCGGAGCAGCCTTGCCTCTCCTGGGCCGGAGTAACTATACCTCTCTTGGGCCGGAGTAACTATACCTCTCTTGGGCCGGAGTAATATTGCAAGATTTTCACCAAGACCTTGGTACTTTGGGCCACAAAGCCCATCACATAGCTCGACCCAATTTTTACCAAAAATTACCCTCTCACTAACATATATCCATCAAAGGGTGTTCCATATCCCACTCCATTGTTGTTCTTTCGTTAATACTCTGAACTAATGGACAGCAATTTGTAGGTATAATAGTTGCCTTCACATTGTTGTGCACACACCACCTCAACACCTCTAGACATGTTGGAGGTTGCAATAAAATAAAAGTTCATTTTAACAGTTTGAGTTCCCTTGTTATGCAAAGCTATGCAAGCTGCACCAGTTTCAGAGGTGAGATGCGACCACACCGCACCAATTAAAAACCTGAATAAAAAATAAAAAAAAAATTATAGAAGCAATCGTAATAGTAATTTGCCAAACAACCAGAATGTAATAACACAATGTATGATAGAATGAAAATAATGAGGAACAAATTGTTTTCTAACTTAAAAGTAGTCCACTTCATAAATGGTTACATTTTTTGTCATACAATTTATTCAATGTAGTTTTTGTTTTGTCTAAGTTGAAATAATGAACATAATGCTTGAGATCATTATAATGATTATCTGAAATATCAGATGTACAAATTATCAAGTAACAAGTACCTTTAATTTGTGGTTCTAGCAATTTTGATAGCAAAAAATTACAATGTACTCACATTGATCTTGTTAATCCTATGTATTCAACAAACTATATTGTTGTCACAAAATCCATTATTCCCTAAAATAGAGATAAACAGAGTGTAATTTTGAAAAGCTCACATTTCTATTTAACCCTCTATGGTGGCCCAAGGCATTGACCCCCAATCAAATTAGAACATGATTGATACTAATGTAATATAATTCTCTTTTATGATTGAAACTCAAACAAAAGTCATTTCCAAACCAAAACAAAGCAACGAAAAGAAAAAATTGGATCTTTAACGGTTCAAATGGATGTTTAAAAGTTATATTAAGAAATTGCTGAGGTTTATTGAACTTTTCACATCAATGATATATTTTCAATTCAATCAAAGAAATAAAATCAGTAATAATTTTTTTTTTAAAAAAAGTATGGTGACTTTTTGCAAATCCATTTCACAAGAGACACGTAATGAGGCAAAGAAAACCATTGGCCTAGACTACAAGTTATACAGTTTTTCCATACTCAAAACTGAAGACCATTCAACCTAAGAGTCAAATAAAAAAAAAGAACCCCACCACCAAGAAAGGAGAAAACTTGATAGAATAACAATGAAAGTGAAATTTTGTTGCCCAAAACAAATCCCAACACCAAAGCATAATCAAATATGTATAATCTCATAGGTATAATAAAACATCCTAGTTCAAAAAAAAAAAAAGTTTGTCTACAACATAATATTTCAGTAGATTAGGGATTTCACAGAAATCAAATCAAATCAGCATTTTATAATATTTTGGGCCTTTAAAAGTCCACAACAATGAAATTATATCCATAATTTTCGTCATGGAAAAGTCAAGAAACTCAAGGATTTACATAAACAATCTTCAATCACTTGTCCTCTTTCTCTTATTTCCTCTTAAAACTTATGAATAAAGCTATACAAGTACTTAACAAAAACAAAATTAAGGTGAAAAAAAAGAAGAAAAAAAAAAAGAAACAAAACTATAAGAAATGCATAGATACAAAAATAAGGAAAGCAAAAGGATGACCCAAAACAAAGAAAACATTCTAAGCAAAAACTATAAGAGAAATATTAGAGTTCATTAAAACCAAACACTAGACAATTCAAACACAAATCAAATCCAAAACAAAATTTTGAACTCCTCAAAAACTACAAAATCAACTACTAACAAACACAAAGAAACAATTTCAAAAGAAAGAAAATAAGAAATCAAAAGACTACAAATTCATTGGGACTTGGGCCTTTTGAGATCTTAGAGCGAATTGAGGAAGTGGCATACCGGTTAGCTTTACTGCCACAACTTTCGGGAGTTCACAACGTATTTTCATGTAGCTATGCTTAAGAAGTATGAACCCGACCCTTCTCATGTGCTTGATTGGGCTGAATTGGAGGTAGATAATGATGCCTTTTACGAAGAACCACCGGTTCAAATATTAGATACTTGGGAGCAAGTGCTACGGGGCAAAACTATACCATTGGTACAGGTGTTGTGGAGACACCATGGGGTTGAAGAAGCGACGTGGGAACGGGAGGCGGAAGTTTGCTCCAAATATCCGGATTTATTTGAAAATGCTTAAGTTGCTTTTCTTTGTAATATTCCCTAGTGTTGAGGGAAACGTATATAAAGTTGTTAACCACATGTTGATATGTGCGTTGTTGTTTTAAGCATAAGGTTGTTTAGAGTTGCCATTACTTTTTGAGAAATTTCATATTTAAGCGTATTTGAGAGGTTATTGTTAATGAGATAACCATGGTGGAAATTGTGGAATTTGGTTGAGAGTTAGTATTGTGATTTGAAAATGAAATAGCGTGGTTTTGATTGCTAGAAACCCTTTGTTTGGGTAATTTGATTTGAAACTTTGGAGATGAAATTCGTTAAGAGGGGAAGGCTGTAGCGATCCCAGTTTTGCCACTTCGCTGAGTATGATCAAGCTACCCGGTCAGCTCGCAGGGGTCCAGGGGGCAGCGCCCCTTGGCGAGTCCAAGGGCAGCGCCCTGGCGGGGATCGAGCTACCCGGTCAGCTCACGGGGGTCCAGGGGACAGCGCCCCTTGGCGGGTCCTAAGGCAGTGCCCTGGCGGGGTTGAGGGGCAGCGCCCCCGAAGCAAAAATGAAAAATGCATTAGAAGTTGCTTGTCCGCTCGAACGACCGTTTATGAGCTCGAGCGGAGAATGATGTTTGGTTTTAGAAGTTTGACCCGTCTGCAAAAGTACTGGGAAAGTGTATTTGACGCTCAAGCGAGGCTTTCCACGCTCGAGCGGACCATGTTATATCAGTTCGTGAATCTGATATTTCAGATCACTTTTGAATATATCTCTCTCTGGAAACCCTTTCCTCTCCCTTCTTTCTACATTTCCCTACGCCAAATTGGATCAAAACCTTGATTTCTCAAGATCCATTAGAGTTCTGCCATAAGTTCTTCATCAAAGTTGGTTAACTTCTTGAGGGCTTCATTGTGTGCGGTGAAGATCGAGTTTCGACACTGTTGATTTTGAGGGTTTCATCTCATTTCTTCTTCAAAACTTGAGGTAGAGATTTTCTTAGAGTTATATATATATTTTTGCAACATCTATATGATTTTCATAATCATCTTTCAATAGCTTTGAAAATTGATTGTTGATTCAAGAAGTTGAGCGATTTTGAAAGTGGGTTTGTCTCTTGTTCTTTTAAAATGATCTTATGGGTTTTGATCTTCGTTGGTTGAAAAAAATATGATTTTGGAAAGTTTTCTTTCAAAGGATTTGAGTTGTATAGTTTTTGTGAGAAAACCTAGAATTTGGATGTTTTTTTAAAAGAGACTGAAAATCTATGAATGATATTATTGTATTTATTTTGTGTGTCAATATAAATGGATGTTTGAAAAATTTCTTATTTATATTTATATAAATGATGAATTTCAGGGAATATAAGAGTTGTTGTTCATTTTGGAAATTATTATTTAAAACG